TCTACCCTTATTTGGCGCAGCCCTTCCATATCTTTTTGTATCTATCCACCGAAGGACCCGATGGGTTTTTCCTTCATTTGGGTTGCTGCCTACCTTGACTAATTTTGTGATTACTAGCGCTGAATTCTTTTTGTGTTAATCGGTATTTTGAGCCTGTATTTTCATGAATGTGTTTTTCATGCGGCGTTCGGTTGGTTTAGCTGGGATCTGAGCAGTATTTTCACAAATGATGCGCTCAGACCCCAGCTATCTACCGAACGTCCATTCGTTTAAATGAACCGTATATTCAAACAGTTATGGATTTTAATGTAAATTGTAGGTTCTGCTGCACGGAGGGATAATCAACTTAACGGTACATTCCTGTGGGAGGATCCCTCTCGTGCAGCAGTGCCTGATGGGAGAAATGCCCTGTATTGTAAGTCCCCCATGTAGTCCTCTCTGGGAATGCCCCTGGGAGGGGACTCAGGAAACCCCTTGCATGGGGACTTGTATAAATTGTGGAGCTGGAAATAAAGACCTCAGTTGACTCTCAGAACTGTTTCATCCGGTTACTGGGAGATTTGGGATATTGCCTTGCTTTTTCCAGCGCTTGACTGTGGATTACTTCCTGAACCAGCGGAATTCGTGGATTTAATATTGGCGTTCCGCTACAATGTATTAATTGGAAACTTACAGTTTGTGACTATTCATACGAATGGAACCCCACTCGTCTCCCGAGCGGTGACCACCCTGGTGCCCCATTAGAGCGTTCCCACCAGTTAATTAGAATGTTCGCACTTGCAACATAAGTGTGAAACCGCAATGTTCGCACTGGCAACGTAGTGTGAAACCACAGGGGAAGTAATTAATTAGTGCTCCCTTGGGTGGTCGCCATTTCACGTAGATGAATGCCAACCAAAGGGAGACTCTTCCCATGCAGGTTTGAACACAGGAACCTCGCGAATGGAGACTGGTCGGGGAATGTGCCATTGTAAGGACTCCTGAGGTTGGTGAGGACACTTTTGGGGCACTGGCTAACTTGGCTGGCTTTTCTGTGCCTGGGAGACAAAGAGACCCCCTAGGAGACCCCTGGCATCTAGGGTGGGAGACCCCTCGCCTGAGTGACGGGCTTTCTATATTTGGGAGACAAAGGGACAGCCATCCCCATTCCCACGCTTTGGCTCCCAGGTGTAGAGGATCCTGGGATACCACCCTTGGTTGTTGGTACTGAAGACCCTTTGAATGGGGCGATGCATAAAAGCCGAGTGTGGCATATTAAAATTGTTGTTGTACTCTTCATCAAGTCACGGCTGATGTTTGGGTAACTAAGGGCTCTGATCACTGATTTTCTTGGGAGTTGGGAGACTTATTAATTCTTTATTTATTCCAAGACCAACAGCAATGGCATAAGTATATTTCAAAACATTCGATTCAGTACAAAATCAGAGGTTAACCATGCATAGCCACAGTGTACATATGTATCTGGCCGCCCAGTACATATCCCGTTGAAGTGCTACCCTCCTCTTTTTTACTTACAGATATCATGTTATGTCCATGTACTGAATCTGCCTGTGCGCCTTGTAGATCCATTCATCTTGGGGTTTTTATTTTTCAATGATAACCATAACTAGAGTTGAGCGAACCCGAACTGAAACGTTCTAGTTCTTACAGAACATTACGTTTTTTGACCCCGGACCCGAACACGGACATATCACTGTATGTTCGGGTTGGAGTTCGGTGTTTGGCGATTTAATGGCGCAGTTTCAAAGGCTGCAGGGCAGCCAATCAACAAGCGTTTGACTTGAGTGCCCTTAGAAGCCATCACAGCCATGCCTACTAATGTGACCCAGCCTCTATATATAAGCTGGAGTTGCGTAGCGCTGCACGCACATGAGGTCTTATTAGTGTAGAGAGAGGATGCTGCCGCTGTGAGGGACAGCTTAGGAAAGAATTCTGCAAACTAGTACATTAGTGTGGTGCACGTCATATCTGAGAGTCAAATAGAAGCGTCAAATACTGCTGTCACTTTGCTGTTTTAAAACTTAAATTTTTTTAGGTGCTAAACTGCTAAATAGTATTTTAATGGGGTGCACTTCATATCTGAGAGTCAAATAGAAGCGTCTAATAGTGTGCTTACAGCGCAGTTGTAAAAATTCTAATTGTTTTGCTGCTAATCTGCTAAATAGTACATTTTGGGGCCTGTTCTTCATATCTGAGAGTCAAATAGAAGCGTCTAATAGTGTGCTTACAGCACAGTTGTAAAAATTCTAATTGTTTTGCTGCTACTCTGCTAAATAGTATATTTGCGGACTGTGGTGAACTTCATATCTAAGAGTCAAATAGAAGCGTCAAATACTGCATTTACAGCGCAATTGTAAACATTCTAATTGTTTTGCTGCTAAGCTGCTCAATAGTACATTTTGGGCGTGCTCTTCATATCTGAGAGTCAAATAGAAGCGTCTAGTAGTGCGCTTACTGCGCAGTTGTAAACATTCTAATTGTTTTATAATCTGCTGCTTACATTGGAGTTTTAAAAATCAATTATTTAATTTTTTTGGTGTTAAATAGTATATTTGGGGTGTGCACTTCATATCTGAGAGTCAAATCGAAGCGTCACTTGTAATAGTGTTTCACACCTACAACACTTGTTACACAGATCTAAGTGATAGAAAACAGATTGATATTTTCTACACTAGAAACTACCAGATAACAAGCTGCTATATTTAAACCAGTGATCAATAGCTAAGAGGTACTTCAGCAATATTGTAATTCTGGGGCAATACCCTCACAAGTCAAACTGAGAGGTCAGCTTATAGGGAAAACTGTTGCCTGGATACAATTCTAAAACAATTTCCATATGTCCTTTGCAGACTTTACATGCTGGAAAAACACAGGTGCAAACTGCTGTGGCTTTCTGCAGTGTGCATACTGGCAAGGAGGGCAGGGTTGAGGAGTGGGTGGAAGATGATGTGGAGGATGATGAGTCGAAGACTGAAACTAACTATGTTACTGTTTGCTAACCGATGGATACTGTTTGTCATTGCATTAGTTTAAAATGAAAAGACGCACGAATGGATTACCCAAACCATTATAAGGGACCCATTCGTGGTACGAACAGGGGACCCCCCAGAATTGGCGTGTGCCCCCACTTAACCCCGTCACCCCGCAAACTGCCGAACGCTCGACCACCCAGCCAGCGGCGTGTGGCATCCATTAACCACCCACGCGGCTGCGGTTTGCGGTTAACCACAACGTAATTGATAGGCCTGGGGGCATCGACGTTCGCATCTAAATACCGAATGGGATCTACCGAACTACCAACCGAACGGCGACCCCCTACAGCGGGCCGCATGGCGATCATTAACTTGTGGTTTCTGCGGTTAACCGCAGGTCAAGTACCCTGCTACCAGGTTGTCCTCATTCACGTACCGAACGAGCTCCACTACCAGACAGACAGCGGGACTTCGCATGAACTGATACCGAGTTTAGTTCCACGAGTTAGCAGCGAAGTCTCGCTGCCCGCTAAATCATCAGAAAACATGGCCGCCAACAGAGACTAACAATCCCAAAATGCCAAACGGACTTTATACGACAGAAACAGTCCATTCTGTTCGTGGGATTAGAGCGCCATTCGCATGTTTTATATACACGAATGCGAGCCTTCAGATGAATGGTAGAATGAGTGGTTTCCCTGTAATAATGTAAAAGTTATAGATTTTCATGCAGTTTTCTGGGACATAATAAAACGTGGTCTTTTGTGCGCTTGGAGATAATTAGATTGTAAGACCGTTGGCCTCATTATCTCCAAGCTGGGCGGGTACTAATTCAAATGATACAGTGTACTGTGATTGGTTACCTGTTTGTACTGTACCTGTATTCCATCAGGTCCACAGGGGGCTGTCCTTGGACCTGAGGAATCACATAAATTGCCATGCTATGTGCCAGTAAAGCCAGTTCGTTTTGACCCTCAACTTGCAGCCTCGACTCATGTTGTAGGGATCCGGGATATTGATGCTTATTTCGTGCTTGGGGATATTCTGCACTTGCAGCTTACTACCGAAAGACCTCCGTTCGACTCTCTGCAGCGGGAACCAGGACATCCAAACGATCAACCCTCCCGCTAGACCGGGGGCAATCGTAACAATGAGGTCCTAGACCCCACATGGAATCAAGATCATGCGAGTGATGTGTGCAGTTTGGAGGAAGAGGCGCTGGTCGCACAGAAGTACCAGCACAGCATAAGAGAGAGCAGATTGCAAAAACGGAGTGGCCGTCCCCTAGCGCTTGTCGGCATGTATTAGCTCAAGAATTACCAGTTATCCAAGTAATACATGTAGCGATCAAAGGATCCATAATAGAGTTGAGCGAACCCGAATGGCAAAGTTCGGGTTCGTACCAGATTTAACGATCCATTCGAAGTTTCACAGTCAGGTTGGCAGTCCGGTGACCAGGACCCAGACACAGTGTCTGGGTGGCGGTCGGATGACCGGGACCCAGTATGCCTGATGTTGAAGTTAGGAGTCAGAGTGTGGAATGGATTAGCAGGGTCTGGCGCAGGGGGATCGCACGCCCCCTGGTGTTGAGCACCAGCGTTTGTGCGGCCACATACCAGGACCCTGATGCAGCTTCAGTACAAAGAGTACTGGATACCAGAAGCCATCACCACACTGATCCACAACTTGGAACAGAATGTGACATTCACTGTAGCGGCTGTGCGCTCTTTTGGTGTTCTCACCCTGCTGCTGCTTGCCTGCCTGCACTGCAGCGTAACTTTGGCCTTCCCGCTCACCGCCTCATGAGACAGTGCGAGCAGCAGCAGGCGATAGTGGAGTTTCAGCTGCACGGGTTAGTGGCTCTGCATCAGACTTCCCTCCAATTGATCAGAGTTAAAGGATTTCAAGTGGACTCATTACAATTACAGGGCCTTTAAGGACCAAACTTCTAGATTAAAAGGGAATCATGACATGTCACACATGTCATGTGTCCTTAAGAGGTTAAAGAGTCCTGTATTGTTATTTGTCGTCACTACCATCCCGCGTCGGGAGTCGGTCATTTGCACGCCTGCTGCCTTCCTTGCATGTGGTAGCCATTTCTCAGGGTCCCTGTACGGAATGGAACCCTGATTCCCCGTTACGCAGAAACTGTCATCAAAAGTTGATATAGATGACATCCGAATGCAAAGTCGCCGTCACGGGGATGTGCGATTTGTCCGAGGTTCTCTAGAGTCAACAAAGTGCCTGCACAACTATAATGTCAACAGCTACTCTGCGGAACAGAGTTGTCTTTTTTTTTTTTATATGTCCCAATATTTTGTGGGCTACCACAATAAAAAAAAAACATAAAAAACTGTGTTGGCTACCTCATCCTTCTCCTCCACCTCTGCTTCCAACTACACCGCCACGGTCACCACCTCCACAACCTATGGGTCACTTAGTATAAACTATGTACACATTAGCAGAGGCTTGCGAATGCCTTTTCTCCATGCATCAGGAGTTGTGCATTTCTCCATGCATCAGGACTGCAAGAAATGCACCACAGACCGCAATTGTTTCTTTTTTTATATGTCCCAATATTTTGTGGGCTACCCCAATTAAATTTTTTAAAAAATAAATAAATATATATATATAAAAAACTATGTACACAATAGCAGAGGCTTATGAAGGCCTTTTCTCCATGCATCAGGAGTTGAGCTCAGTTTGAACAATGAAAGAGAATACCCTGCACTCCTACCCTCTCTCAAATGGATAATTCTGGTGATCCTCCTGACAACCATGCTTTAGATTTTGATTTATGTTCTTCCAAAGCTAAAATCAAAGATTCCATCTAGTGCTATTTTATGGCTCAGCTGTATTTTTAATTTTTAGTTATTTTATGTTATTTTAAGTGATTTCCCTATCCACATTTGTTTGCAGGGCGCTTGTCCTACTCTTACCCCCATTTGATTTCCTTTTGCAACTCTCTAGCACTTTCCAGGAGTTTTTTAGAGGCATTTTTGTGCTCAAAAGTTCGGGTCCTCATTGACTTCAATGGGGTTCGGGGTCAAGTTCGAGCCTGAACCCAAACTTATCTTCAAGGTGTCTGCTCAACTCAACCATAACTTTATAAATACGTGCATGTCTCATAAGGTAGTTAACATACTGTGTATAACATACATAACTCTTATATCCTATATACATTTTCATACCATGTGTGTCCTTCACACTTTGGTTATACCCAGCAGCCTGGGGCCCAATGCCGTTTAGACTTGTCGCTATGGTTTGTTCTAGACAATCTATATGGCTTCCCTATCTATAGTCCATATGCTTCCGTCCGTGTTTAGCAAGCATTTGCATGCGAGTCCTGGTGTAGTTATTTCGGGTCAGGGCCCCCACACTCTTCCCTTTTTTTGTTGTGACTCTGAGCCAGCCAGGGTCTGTCTAGGTCCCTAGAGTGTATGGGCCTTAGAGAAATAAAAAGAGGTATAAATAGAAAAAGAGAAAAGGTGGGGTAAGGAGGAGGGGGGATATATACGACGGTTCAGCACGGCTTGTTATATTTAGTAGTAAAATGGTTCTCGGGGGGGCTGGATAGGGTGTAGCTGTGGTCCCTCTCAGTCTGGCCGTCAGGCTATTCATTAAGTGTACCTCCTTTATGTTACCAATCACCCTCCGAATGGGGGCATGTCTGCCTGCAACCATGTCTGGGCCACCGTTCTCCTTGCGGCTAGTGTGATCTTATGAATCAGTTTTTGTTCCCCCTTAGTCCAGTCGTCTATGGGTCTGTTCACTAGGTATGTCCATGGGTTTAGGTCGGGTGCTCTATGGAAAATTCTTTTTTATCAGTTTGTGAATTTTTGCCCAGAATGCTTGTACTTTAGGACATTCCCACCACATGTGTATATACGTGCCTTTGTGTCCGCAACCCCTCCAACAGTCATCTGTAGGGGTTTGTCGCATGCAATGTAGTTTGGCCGATGTGGTGTACCACCTAAACATTGTTTTGCAGGTTTGCTCCTGTAGCATTACGAAAATGGATACGGAGTGATTTGCCTCCCAGATGTCCCTCCATTTGTCTCCCTCCAGTAACTCGCCTAAGTCTCTTTCCCACGCTTCTGTGTATGACAGTGTTCCCCACTCCTTAGTTTCTGAACACAAGTGTGTGTAGATCGTAGTTATTAAGGTCTTCTGGGTGGATTCGTTGAGGAACATTCTTTCAAAAAAGGTCAGATGACCTTTTGTCGCCTGTTTCACGAGTGCCTGCTGGACATAGTCCCGTATCTGTATATTTCTGAAAAAGTCTGTGGGGGTGAGGTATGTTGTCTGTTGGAGTCGGTCAAAGGGGACTAGTTTCTTGTGTTCATACATGTGGCAAATCCTCTGTAGCCCTGTTTTTTACAAGTTTGTGAATTCCCTGGCTGCTATACCTGGGGGGAAAGCCCTATTTCTCAGTAGGTGGTTAGGAAGGGACAGCGGTGATGTCATGTTGTACTTGTATGCGTATGCATCCCATATTCTCAGGGAATTTAAAATAGCTGGGCATGCCGTTCTCAAGATTGGTCTATCTTCCCTGTGCACCCACATGTGGTACTGTGGCAGGTCAGCCCCTGTCATGATGGACTCTAGGTCCACCCATTTCCTCACCTCTAAAGGCGCGTGCCACATCGCCACTTGTGCCAACTGCGCCGCCAGATAATAGAAGTATAGGTGTGGCAGGCCCAACCCCCCCCCCTTTGCTTCTGTCTGTATAATATGTTCCTGGAAATTCTATGACGACGATTTTGCCAGATGAAATCGCCCATTGCTTTTTGTAGGTGGGCCAAATCGGATTTCAACAATTTCACGGGTAGCGCTTGGAAGAGAAACAGAATTCTGGGTAATATGTCAATTTTTACTGCGTGAATGCGCCCAATCCAGGATAGAGTTTTGACTTGCCATTTTTCCATATCTTGCATTAATGTCCGAATCAGTGGTGCATAGTTCAATTGGTGTATTTGGTTGGGTCACCTTGGAGTCGTACCCCTAGGTACTTAAGGTGGTCTCTCACTATGGGGATATTGTGGATTTCCTGCAGCATCGCTATATCCTCTGCAGTTACATAGTTACATAGTTACATAGCTGAAAAGAGACTTGCGTCCATCAATTTCAGCCTACCTCACATTTGTCTTTTGCTGTTGATCCAAAAGAAGGCAAAAAAACCCAGTTTGAAGCACAATTTTGCAACAAGCTAGGAAAAAAATTCCTTCTTTTCCTAGCAGTCAGATTTATCAGTCAGATTTATCCTTGGATCAGAATGGCAGTCAGATTTATCCTTGGATCAAGAAGTTATTACACTACATTGAAAGATTATATCCTTGAATATTCTGTTCTTGCAAGTATGCATCTAGTAGCCGTTTGAACATCTGTATGGACTCTGATAAAACCACTTCTTCAGGCAGAGAATTCCACATCCTGATTGTTCTTACAGTAAAAAAACATTTCCTTTGCCTTAGACGAAATCTTCTTTCTTCCAGTCTAAATGCATGGCCTCGTGTCCTATGTAAAGTCAGGTTTGTGAATAGATTTCCACACAATGGTTTGTATTGGCCCAGAATATATTTGTATAATGTTATCAGTTATGCCAATCGGGAGGGCACTGGATTTTTCTAGGCTCGCCTTATATCTGGAGAAGGTTCCGTATTGTGTTAGTAAGTCTTTAAGGGCTGCCATGGATTCTGTAGGCCTCGTAAGGGTCAGCAATACATCATCCGCGTATGCGAAGGCATGGAACTCCTGACCTGCCACCTTTATCCCTGTGATACGCGGGTGCTGATGCATAGCCTGCATGAGCGGCTCCAGTGAAAGTATGAAGAGGAGCAAGGAGAGGGGACAGCCCTGTCTAGTCCCGTTCCCCAACTTAAAAGGTTTAGGATCAGTTTTGGCTATTTTGACTTGTGCAGAGACGTGATCGTACATGGCTTTGATCGATGATACGTATCTTCCGGGGAAGTCCAGATGTTTCAGTAGACCGAAGAGGTACGGCCATTCGACCCTGTCGAAGGCCTTTTCGGCGTCTATTGCTACTAGTAACGTTGGTGTGTCGGTGGTCTTTTGGTGCCATATGAGATCGATGTTCCTCCTGGTATTCTCAAAGAGCTGTCTGTCTGGCACAAATCCCACCTAGTCTGGATGTATCAGCATTTTTAGTACGGGATTCAGTCGGTCCACCAAGATTTACGCCAGTATCTTGATGTCATGGTTTATCAGAGAGATAGGTCTATAGTTTTCAGGGTGCAGAGGGTCCCTGCCTGGTTTTTGGAGAAGTATTATGTTGGCTAGGGACATGCTGCTCTTTGTACTTCCGCCATCCATGAGGTCGTTGAAGAGCCATCCATGAGGTCGTTGAAGAGCCATGGGAGCTTGGAGACTTATAACGGATATATTCAGAGTATACGGGATCCATTACAATACATCTTCTCTTTTCTACACAAAACAGATACCAAACCCTAAGATCATCAACAACAAAAAAGACCAGACATGGACTTGGAGGAAAGAGAGGAAACAGCACCCATAGCGATACCACACAGACAAAACTAGAGAAATATCCAGAAGGCATATTTAACATTTTAGGAGTAGAATTCTCAACACAATAGTTGTCATTACTAGAAAAGGGTTTAAAATTTGCCCCACACTAGGTCCAAAACCTTAAGATTCATTTTCAGAAAACAAGAAATTTGTAAACAAAAATTACAGTCAAAGATTTTTTGAAAAACAATTGAATAATAGGTTGATTGACCAATAGTAACTGATACAGTAGTAAGTACAAATGAACCAATTTTATAAAAATATATTATGCCTATCGTCCATTCAAATTTTAAAAACAGATCCAACTTCTATCTGAGGACTAAAAGAGGGAAATATCTTGAGGTCTTGACCTTGTTCAATCTGATATAGATAACATTTCTGACAGGAGGAACTCTCATCATGAGCAAACAATATTACATGCAAGAGGCGTATAATATCTTAGAAGATAAAAATACCAGATTCTTAACCAAGATCCTATCAAAATCTTTTTACAGGCACTCAGAGAGCTATTACAGAAGGGTATTGATCAAAATATTATCTCCAAATATGAATTCCAATTTATCGTTAATTACTCTTGCAAAACAGCCATTTTTTTTTTTCACCCCAAAATTCATAATAAATAATTTTTTCACCCGGGCTGGTGGCATTGATTCGCTGTCATGAAATCTTTCTGAATACGAAAATATTTTTTATTTTATTTTTTTGAATTTTTGAATTTGGAAGTTTACACCGGTACAATATGGTAAACAGTTGTGAAGAAATAACATAGCATACATATTACATTCAGTTAAACATAGTCAAGTATTTTGTGTCTCCTAGTTCACCTAGCATTAGCAGAGAGCTCAGGGGAGGTTTGTTTTGTAAGCAA